TCCACCTATGACTAGACCACAGGTATTGATGGCTATACCTTGTACAAGAGGGATTATGCTGAAAGGAAGGTGGGGGTGTAGATGTCTATGTGAAGGAGCAGCACACTTCCCTACAAGCAGAGATTGGCATCCAAGAAGGGTGACTTGAGACCCTCTGGGTTAGAATTTGGGGAGAACATGGTGAAAGGGATATAACTGTAGGAGTCTATTATAGACCTCCTAACCAGGAGGAAGAGCTTGACCATGAATTTGCTAGGGAACTGGCAGAGGTTGCACGCTGTCAGTGCATAGTCATCATGGGTAACTTCAGCCATCCTGGCATCTCATGGGAAGAGCATTCAGCCAAATCTGATCAGTCATGAAGCTTCCTCACTTGCATGGACAAGCTCTATTTGACTCAAGAAGTCTGGGCCAACAAGAGGTAAGGCGCTGCTGGATCTGGTACTGGCCAAAGGGGATGATCTAGTCAGTGATCTGAGGATCGAAGGGAAACTTGGTGACAGTGATCACAAGTTGATCACTTTCTCTATCCATCACAAAGCTAGCAAATCAGTCAGCAACACAGAAATCCTTGACTTTAAGAAAGTTGACTTTCACAAGCTCAGGAGGTTGGTTGTTGAGGCCCTGAGAGATCATGATCTGACAGGGAGGCAAGCCCATGATGAGCGATTGGTCCTTATGGACGTGATCCTAAAAGCACAAGGGAAGTCCATTTCAGCTCATAGGAAAGGTAGCAAAAGGGCTGGGAGACCCCATTGGCTGAATAGGGAATTCATGGACCTGAATCTGAAAAAAGAAGTTTATAAGGGATGGAAGTTGGAAACTACCACTAAAGAGGATTATGCAGCACTTCCCTGCATCTGTAGGGAGTGGACCAGAAAAGCCAAGGCTGAAACTGAAGTCAAACTGGCTAAGGCAATCAAGGAAAATAAAAAGCCCTTCTTCAAATATGTGGGAAGTCAGAAAAAAACCAAGGACAACATTGGACTCTTGCTGAACCAAATGGGCCAGCTGACAACCGACACCCAGGAGAAAGCTAATCTCCTTAACAATTACTTTGCGTCGGTTTTCCTCCAGCCCAAGGGGATCACCCTGCCTGACAGGATGCAGGACTACCAGGGTAAGGGCGATCATACACCCATAGGCAATACGTAGGGGAGGCATAGTGGGGCACATGCCCTCCTGAGATTGGCCACCGCCGAAACAGCTTCTGTAGGCAGTTGCTGCCCTCCCCTTGCTGCTGATGCAGCTGCTGGCATCTGCAGGCAGTATCTGCTCACTGCCAATGCTGCCACTTACAAATGGTGCCCCCCAGTCTCGGGGGCACCAGTCATTCATACATATGCCTATAATTGACAAAGATCTTGTGAGGGAACAGCTTGAGAGGCTGGACATCCACAAGTCAGTTGGCCCAGATGGAATGCACCCAAGAGTGCTAAAAGAGGTGGCTCGCATCATAGCATGACCAATGGTGAAGATATTTGAGAACTCATGGTGCTCAGGAGAGGTTCCTGAAGATTGGAAGAGGGCTTATGTGGTGCCTATCTTCAAGAAAGGAAGGAAGGAAGATCCAGGGATCTACAAGCCAATCAGTTTGACCTCAATTCCTGGAAGGGTGTTGGAAAAAATTATCAAAGAAACCATCAACAACAGGCTAATGGAAGGCAAGATTCTGAGAGAGAGCCAACATACCTACCTGCAACAAAGCCATGTTCAACATGGCTTTGTTGCGGGTAGATCTTTCTTGACCAACCTCATTTTCTTCTATGAGCAGGTGACACATCACCTGGACAAAGGAGAAGAGGTTGATGTCATATATTTAGATTTCAAAAAAGCCTTTGAGTTGGTCTCACATAATGTCCTTATGGTAAAAGTGGAGAACTACAGACTCAACAACCTTATGGTCCAATGGCTGGGGAACTGGCTCTGTGTTTGGACCTAGAGAGTGATAGTCGATGGAACCAAGTCAGCATGGTACATGGTGACCAGTGGCATCTCCCAGGGCTCAGTACTCAGACCAGTACTCTTTAATGTATTCATAACTGATCTGGATTCAGGTGTCAGAAGCAGACTGGCTAAATTCGCAGACAGCACCAAATTATGGGGAAATGCAGTCACGCTGGGGATAGGCTGGCAATTCAGGCTGAGCTGGACAGGCTTGCAAGGTGGGTGGATCAAAATCTGGTTACATTCAACACAGAGAAATGCAAGGTGCTCCATCTCCGGAGAAACCGCATCCCCCCATCATACTTATAGGCTTGGCAGTGCTACACCCACTAGCACCATGACCAAAAGAGACTTGGGGGTCATGATTGATGACAAAATGAACAAGAGCTACCAGTGCGATGCCACAGCTGGCAAAGCAAATAAAACTCTGGGTTGCATCTACCGATGCATCTCAAGCAAGACCCAAGAAGTCATCCTCCCTTTTTACTTGGCCTTGGTCTGGCTGCAACTGGAGTACTGTATCCAATTCTGGGCTGCATACTTTAGAAAGGATGTGCAGAAGCTTGAGAAAGTCCATAAGAGAGTCACATGAATGATTAGAGGTCAAGAGAGCAATCCTTATGAGGAGAGGCTGAGAAGCATGGGACTCTTCAGCCTAGAGAAGCGAAGGCTCAGGGGTGACTTGGTGACAGCCTATAAGTACATAAGGGGTATGCATCAGGAACTGGGACAATGTCTGTTCACCAGAGCGCCCCAAGGGAAGACAAGGTCTGACAATCACAAATTGCTGGAAGACCATTTTAGACTGGACATAAGGAAAATTTTCTTTACTGTCTGAGTCTCCAGAGTCTGGAATAGATTCCCCCAGAAGCAGTGCAAGCACCTACTCTGGATACCTTTAAGAAATGCTTGGATGCTTATCTTGCTGAGGTGATCTGACCCCAGCTGACTTCTTGCTCCTTGGGTAGGGGACTGGAGTGGATCTCATGAGGTCCCTTCCAGCCCTAATGTCTATGAATCTATGAGCTATGCCCCTCCCCATGTCCCTGAATGAACCACCCACAGCTCTGTCCCAGGACCTGCCCTGGCCCTGGGTCCCCATTCACCCTAACCCCTATCCCACTCCCTTCCTCACCATGGAGGCCTTGACCTTCTCCCCCCACCCCTTCCCTTTCCCCTCTGCAGACTTACCTGCTGGACAGTGCTCTACACATCACCCGGCTGCGTTTCTGTAGGGTTACCATATTTCCAGTTTCAAAAAAGAGGACACCTGTGTGTGTGTGGAGGGGGGTGGTAAAATGATTGTGGAGGGGGCAGTGAATTGCCCATGCCCTGCCCCTATCCCTCATTCCCAAGGCACAGCCCCCCCCAGGCCTGCTGCTGCCCCTCGCTCCTGATCCACAGTACCCCACATCCTGCCAAGACATGTGGGGACCACCCCCTCCCCAGGTTCCAAACCCCACACACACACCCACAGCCCCCCCACACCTTCACAAATCCCCCCCATGCACATACCCCATCTCCTGCCCCAACCATACAAAGTACGTGCATAATTTTGCATAATTTTGAGTGTGTCTGCACACCATTTTAAATTTTTTGTGCAATTAAAATCACAACTAATTGCAACTAATTTTTAATTGCTTAACTAATCCCAATCCATTGTTTAAATTATTATTCTGTGGCTAACTAAAATATAAATAAGGGTACTGAAGGTGCACTGGTTCAGAACACCAAAGCAAACTGTGAATTGTAAAACATCGCAGTGGTAAGAAGGACCAAGCTCCTCTTTAGCTGGGTAAGTAGCACTTATATATGTAAAGCTGGGCTGTGAGTTGTGCAGTGCCAAAAGCACCCTCTACTGTTATGGCTGAAACTGGCTCACTGGGCAGCCAAGAGAAGCTGTGTGGGGCCTGATGGTTAGATCAGTTTTCTGAGAAGCAGATGTAGGTAAGTATCCCCCCACCTCCAGGGCAAGTGGGGCCTGGGTCTCTCACTTCCTGAGCAAGTGACCTACTCCCTAGACTTTGGGCAAAATAAAATGGCGGAGCCCCCACTTGCACTGACTTACATGGAGGTATGCATCTTACTCAAGCTGTGCACCTAAGTAGCTCAAAACACCACTTGTACATCTAAAGGTGAGCTGGATTTGGGCCTAAGTTCAGTCTCAGATTCAGTTTCTGAAAAAAATTAAAACCAAAATTGTTTTTCCCATAATGGATTTATCAATGAGATGTTATCTACTATATCAGAAGAAAGTACTTAAATTTATCTAAATTGAAAATCTTTGGTAAAGTGAAATAATTACATCTGAAATGCTTTTCATTATTTGAATTCATTGAATAGTCTGATTCGTTTTGTTTAGAGAGTTCTGTCTATGAAAGGAAAACAGCTTCCATTGATTTCAGTTGTGGATTCCCAGGGCATTTTTTCCATTCTTCTTTTTCCATTTGCACACTTTTATAGTCACACAATGCACAGTAGACTGTTTTACTGCGCGTTAGTTTAATGTCATGGTTTTACATGCTGTTTTAATACACAATAAAATAGTCTACTGTGCATTGAAGCACATGTGTAGATGCACCCCATGACTAGTAATGTGAATCACAACAGTAGACTATAGACAGACGGACAGATGTGTGTATGAATATTTACAAAACTTTTTAATGGAAAAAATGAGATAAAACAGTATAGATCAAAATAATATTTAATATTTAATAATGTCATTGAATAGTGATGTTGAGCTACACAAAATAAATATTAGTATTCTCTTCTTTTTTTTCTGTTTCCCCTCAGTATTGCCAGTGATCCATCATTTGTTTAGAACAGAATTCTTCCTTCTTTATAGCAATTCAGAACTTGGGCTGGTGGAAAAATTGCATTGAATCTCACAATTCTGTTCGAGTTGTCTTTGTGATTTCAGTGATTCTACTTGGAGAGTAAAATTACCCTTGGCAGAATCAGGGGCTTTGGGCCTGGAACAAGAGAGATTTCAAGGAAATTTATTAAAGGGCAGTGACTGTATTAATCTTTGATATCCTTTATTTTGTCCACAGGGCAATGATGTTCGGATAATCCTTGGTCAATTTGATGAGCAAATGGCAGCAAAAGTATTCTGTTGTGTAAGTAAATATCTCTAATTCTGTATTAGGGTAAAGAATTAATTATATTTAAAAACCCTGTATTAGATAAATAGAATTGCAATGGTATGGTCCAGTTCTTCAGACTTTTGAGGCCTAAGTTCACAAAGCACATTGTCATGTTTAAACCACTGATGATGCTTAAATATGCTAAAACAAGAGTCAGCAACCTTTTCAGGCTGTGGGCCAGACTGACTGAATTTGGCTCAGAGGTGGGCCAGCATGCAGAGGGGTGAGAAATACAGCCTAGCCATCGCCACTGCCACTTTTCCCTGCGGCAGCATGGAGGACGTGTCTGCAGCTGGCCTTCGTCCCTACAGTGTCAAAGGAAAGCAACTACTGCTGATGCCCCACACTGCTGCAGAGATGACTGCCAGCTTCAGACACTGTCCCCATGCTGTCATGGGGAAAAGCAGTGGTGGCATCTGGGTCCTAGCATCTGCTTCCTGTGTGCTTGCACACCTCTGACCCAAACTGGGTCAATCCAGCTGCTAAAGTGGATCAAACAGCTCCACAGACTGAATCTGGCCTATGGGCCATAGGTTGCCAATCACTGTGCTAGAGTTCTAGATGCCAGTGAGACCTAAAACTGGGCTCATAGTAAAGCATATGCTCCAGTGGTTTCCTTAATTGTGTTTAAATGAGTAGCTCTTACGTCAACAGTACCATGAACTATGTGTATGTAGAGCATGAATGTGTTTTAGTTTTTCAAAGAATGCAGAAATCCACACTGCAAGGAAAACAGTTACCATGATATGAACTGCAGAAGGTAGTCTAATAATCTCTACTTTTCCAAATGTTGCTAATCATATAATTAAAATACAGAGTCAAATTGTTTGCTTGTTCAATGTATTAGAGTTGTGTGACATATTCCTAACCAAAGCACATATTCATATGCAAAATCAAAGAGTTCATAAATTGAGAGAAACATATAAAATAAAGAATGACAGAATCATCTCTAAGTAGAATTATTTATACCTGAGGGTGCAATTACTACATAGTAAATTGGCTTACTACATAGTAAAGGGGAGCATACATGTATGCCTAAATTGTATTTCATTTTATATGCCTATAACATGAAATACAATTTGGAATCATGTTCTAACTGTATTTACATCATCCTAAATATATTGTCCCTTTAGATGTCTCCAGGGCACATATGCAAGTCACACTTTTTGGCTCTTTCCCATAGATTGGGATTTAACTCTGGGTATACATGCTGAGTTGAGCTACACTCTAGCTAAGCAGTTGTGTGGTAATATATGCTCACCAAGAGACGTGTACGGCTAGATAAGCCCTCTAGTTGTAACCTGGCAAAAAAAAGAGTAGTAGGTGTTAGATTCTGGATGAGGAGGATCCTCCTGTTTTAGCCCAATAGATAAGCATAGTGGAGGCCTACCTTTTTGGCAGGCGTGTCACAAATAAACCTCACAGCCTTCCTGAGTGCCACTTCAATCCCTTTCCGCTGTCCAATCTGCTGCTCAGTTTTCTGCTTCCTTCCCGGTGCTCCCTGCTTGATCCAATGCTCTGCTGTCTGCTCGCTCTGCCACCCTTTTGCATATTCCCTCTCCAGTTCGACACTTGCCACACCCAGTGGGTGCCTGTGCCAAAAATTGGCCATCTTTGGACTAGAAATTAGGGCACTGGCCCACAGAGTACAAGACTCAGGTTCCAAGGAGACTGAAAGCTGTATCTCCTGCTTGCCAGTATAGTGCTGTAGCTACCAGGCCACAGGCTAAGTGTTGCCTGAACATTTCTTTGACTCTCCTCTTGCAACTGGATCATTCTACAGACAGGCGTGGGAGACACATAGTTCTAGAAGAATGAGAACAAGCCTGCACATGTGTGGACTGCTCCCAATGAGGCAGAACATTTCCTAGTGCTATTTTATTATTTTAGTCAGAAAATAGGAACTGCAAGGTGCTGTGGGTCACCCCATGGGCAATGCCTGGTGATTAGTTCACTTTTCTGGGAATTGGGTGATTTAGGTTCCAAGCCCTTCTGGGTGAAGAAGGCCTGGAGCCTGGAACTCCCATACCCTGGGCACATGCTCTCACCACCCAGCTGTTTTGCTTCCAGCACATATGCATGCAAGTAGTTCTATTTAGTCACAAGATGAAATAGAATCCCAAACTCTATGCAAGTGCCGCAGCTGCAGTTATGGAACTGTGTACATGTCTTTTAGACACATCAAGTGAAATAGGTTTTAGCTTGATATTTTTCTGCGAAACAATTTGACCTTACTCCAAGGTAAAAATGGATTGGACAGATGACATGCAGGTTTACAAAGGTATAAGTCACCTCACTCTGCGTTGAAGTTACCACTTGGAAAGTGAGCAGTAGCTACATACCAGTGTAAGTTACATCATGAGTTTACTCCCCTTGTCAATTTGTCAATTGCATCCCAGCGTAGCCATTTTCTTAGTATTAAATAAGCTTCCTTGCACCTACTGTCCAGACACTTAACAACACCTACAACAGGCAGTGAGCTTGGAAGAGATGGTCATGTGCCCAGTTTTCCTTCAGAGTACCATTGCGTAAAATCTTAGGTAAATTACTTGTTACCTATTGCCTCGTGTGTCCTAACCCTCCATCTCCTTTTGATATCCTTTTCTAATTGTATTTACACCATTCTAAATATATTGTCTCTTAGATGTTTCCTGGCTTCAGAAAAACATCCATACTGATATATGGTATGGTACAATAGATACCCATACTGATATATGGTACTGATCACCTTTAAATAATTTTCAGTTATATATGATTTTCATATCAGTGTAAAATTTCATCAAGGTCTATGAGCACATGTGAAGGGCTGTTCATGCACAGCCTCCTGCACTGGTGGTGAGTAGGGGGAGCATATGTTAAATGGGTTGTTGATAGGGCCACCTCTGAGGAGGTACACCTCCCTGGGTGGGTTGGAGCTTAAATGCCATCTCCACTCCTTGCCAAAGAAAGTTCTTTGAGGAAATCAGATATCTTTTATTAGACTAACTCAAATATTTGGAAAAATTCTTCTTAGCAAGCTTTTGGGTTTAAATACCATTCATTAGGCTGAGGAAGGATCTGCAGTTGGTGCGTGCACCACAGGCTGATATGCATGCAATAAAGCCAGTCAGTGAAGATGTAAACTGAGGAGTCAGTGGGTGAGAACAGGCTGGGGGGATGAATGTAGCAGGTAAATAATGGAGAGGTTCCTGGGGAGTCAGATGTCAGTGAGCTTATAATGCTCCATAAATCCAATGTCTGTATTTAGTCCACGATTTTTTGTATGCAGGAGGTTGATGATGAAGTTCACAGGCTTGTCTCTGAAAAGTGTTTTGTAAATTCTCTTTGAGGATTAGAACTGAGAGATTGGAAAGAGAGTGGTTTTCTTGTGAGAAATGTACTCCCACTGGTAATTGGGTATTCTTGTCTTTAATAGATTTCTGGCGTGCATTCATTTTGGTGCGCTGTAGTTGTTTGGTCACTCTGGGACACTGTTCCGCTTCCCCGCATGGCCTCGGGGGGGGTGTCTTGCAGTGTCCTGGAGCTGGCAGAGCGTCACTCACAGCAGGCAGTGGCTCCTCCCCAAGGTGAGGCAAAGCAGGGATGGAGGCTGGGGTGGGGGGCTGGCGCAGGCTCCCCTGGCCGTGGGGAAGTGCTCCACTCTCCAGCCCTGATGTGGGGGAGCAGAGCACTTCCCCAAAGCTGATGGAGCCCACGCCAGGCTCCCGTTCCAGCCTCTCCTGGTGCGCGGCCTTGAAAAGGCTGTGTGCGGCCACACTTTTAATTGTGCATAGCCATGCACATGCACACCTTAGAGGGAACTTTGGTTGGATGGAGGAGTGATGACTGTTAAATTCCTGATGGAACTCAATCAGGGATTGCAGGTTTTCAGTCCAAATGATGAAGATTTCATTGATATATCTTAAGTATAGCAAGGGTTTGATGCTGCAGTCCTTAAGGAATTCTTCCAGGTGGCTCATAAAAAGGTTGGCATACTGTGGGGCCATTTTGGGCCATATTTAAACACTAAAGCTTGCTAAGAAGAATGTTTCCAACTATCTGAGTTGGTCTAATAAAAAATATTAGATTTACCCAAAGAACCTTGTCTGCCTATGTCCTTAGACCAACACGGCTACAACCTACACCCCCATCTCCACTCCTCTCAACCCTACAGTCTTTGGGAAAGAAACTGAATGGAGGAGCTAAACCATGACTAAGAACAATGCTACAAGCATGAATACTAGGCTTATTGCAGGGCTGGGGTCCTTGCAGGTCAGGTTCCTGAAGGCAGCAAGCTATTACTTGTTCCAAGATATCCCACTTTTCTGAACTGCACAAATCACAACAAAAAGGGGAAATTCTCACCTTTTCTCTGGATGCTGGATCAAAGTAATTTGTATTCAAAGGCAGTTTGAATCCACTGTGGTTGAATCAGAAATGTATTTAGTGCATAATAGGCCTAATAGAAAACTTTCCTATAAGCCACAGATGACTAGAGAAGAATGAATTTGATGTTTTTGGTTGGGATGATGATGTAGCTGTTATGGTCCGGGAAAAATCTGAGGCAAGGGTTTTATGTGGGTGGTATCTTTTACTGGATCAACTACTTTATACTGAACAGCTTGTTGATAGCCCTCCCACCTATACATTAGTCCAAAAAAGTTGTACACAAAAATCTTTTCCCTTGTGATTTTTCTTTTTGATTCCTTGATTTTAAAAAACATGCATATTTTTTCTGCTGTGGAACATGGCCAACACAGAGCACAACGGAGAATGTTTCATAGATAACATTGCCATCTGTATAATCAGAGATAAGAGGAGAGAAAGAGCAAAACTACTTCCAATTACTTTAGGAAGCAAAGAGACTTTTTTCTTCCAAATACATGCTATATTACTTGCCTGTCTTGCAAAGGTCTCACTGCTGAAATCATGACAGCTGCTTAGTGAGAGTAAAAAAAGTACCCCAGGGACACAAAGCAATCTAATTTTGAACT